TCTTCTTCTTCTTCTTCTTCTTCTTCTTCTTCTTCTTCTTCTTCTTCTTCTTCTTCTTCTTCGAGTTTCAATCTGAATTTCAGTCAAAACCAAGTATGTCCAGAATATTTATGAAAAACAGGAAAATTAAACAAAACTCATTTTTCCTCACTCTTTTATACATTGATGTTAATTGCAGGTCAAGATGATTATGCTATAATTATGCAGAAGAGGAAATTGGGAAAGAAGGCAAAAAGTTATGCTTATAGAATTCGTGAGCATGGTATGCGTCTATCTACATCTAGTTCATTCTTTTCCTTTTTCCTTCTTTAAGAAAACAATAAAAATATTTTCTTATTTTGATGTTTTGTAGTGAAATTGGGGCCAAAGTTTTCAGAAACGGTGAAGGGGAAGTTGAAAATAGTGAAAGAAGGAGGGAGAAGGAATATATTCAGGAATATGTTTAATGTAAACGAAGGAGAGAAGCTGCTAAAAGATACAGAACAAAAAAAAAACGGCCCATTTTTGATACCTTGAATTAAGGAGGGATATATGCTGCATTAATTGTACTCTTAAAATACACTATGGTATAGAATTAGTAATTTGGTACACTGAATGTAATTATATCAAACCTTAAACATTGAGGGTAATAAGGTTTCCTATATGGTATAGGAATGTAAAAATTCCTTAGTATAATTATTTTCGGGATATCTAATTCATAAAATTGAACAAGTAAATATCTTTAGTCACGTAATCCTATTACTTTTAGGATATACTTTTTAAAAATTCCTATTACTAATTTAATTTGAAAACATATTATAATATTCTATTACTAATTTAATTCGAGAATGTATTATATTGTTCAAATTTATTTAGAAAAAGGAGAGCTTGTATTGTTATAAAAATATAAATACAATATTAATATACCAAAATAGCCCTGAAATATTAAGCGTAAGAGCTCATAGGGAAAGGACATAACTGTAATAACCTATTTTTTGGACTACAATACCTTTTATGCTAATTTTTAATATTTTAAAATTTTAAAATTAATAAAGTTTTATCTATTAAATTCTTATTAAAAATATGTAGGAAGGTTTAATAAAATTAATTTCATAAGAATCCTCCGTGTACATATACCTCTTCAAACGACTTAAATAATCACCACAAATATATCAAAGCAGATCAATGATGCTAAATTTATAAGGAAAGCAAAATTGATAATATGGGATGAAGCACTTATGGTTAAGTGTCAAACGATCAAAATAATTGCCCGGAGTTCTAGAGATATATTGGATATAATGAACCGTTTGGTGGAAAAATAATTGTTTGGGAGGTGATTTCTATCAAGTACTACAAGTAGTTCCAAAATCGACAAAAGCAGAGACTGTAAAAGCTAGCTTGCCAAAGTTATACTTCCGGCCTCAAATGAAAAAGATTCAACTCACAAGAAATATAAAGTAAGAACAGATCCGGTATTCAGTGTCTTCTTGTTTCGTGTCGGAAACGAAGAAGAGCATCTAATAAAATATGGTTTGGTTCTTCCTGAACACTTGGTTATCAATCCCAATGGTAATGGTAGTGCATTTAATAAGAAAATATTTTTATTATTAGATTAAAACTCAATTTTGCAAATCGCACGATAAATTAAAAAGATATCTTAGCTAGCAGAAATGAATATATTGATCAACTAAATAAAAGATTGATTGCAAATTTTATATTAAAAACAAAATGTTTTTCAGTTGTTGACTCAGCAGAAAATGATACCACTAATTACTACCAAGAAGAATACTTAAATACTTTAATACCAAATGGCTTTCTACCACACATGTTTGTTGTTAAGTTTATTATTTTTTACGTATGTTATTGTCACCGTATATATAATAGACTAAGTCAAAATTGATCTTTCATTGTATATTGGTTAATTTTGAAGAAAAATATGCCCATCATGCTACTAAAAAACTTAGATACGCCGAATAGCTTTTGTAATAGCACACAGATGATATATAGAAGTTTTGACAATAACGTCATACTTGCAAAAATTATGATACTGGTCAATGTGCTTTTAAGTATACTCTTATCCCTGAATTCAACTTTCGTCTTCCGAAACCAAAGATCCTTTTAAATTTGTGTGAAAATAATTTTTAGTATGTTTATGTTTTGCAAATATAATAAATAAAGCACAAGGACAAACATCCTAAATATTGGACTATATTTACCGCAATATATTTTCTTGCATAAACAACTGTATGTTGCACTTTCAAGAGGGATATCAAGATCGACAACAAGAGTTCTGGTTAAGGCAGAGCAATCAAAGCATTAGGAGGAAATACAAAAAAAAAATATTGTCCACAAAGAAGTGTTCGTTAAGATACCATCACATTAAGTACTTTTAAACTATAATACATAATTATCTAACTAACATGACAAAATTGATTATTTATGTAAGTTTTGATGATGTTCTTTTATTTTAAATTCATGTATTATGCTAATGTAATAATACTTTTTGGCATTTAGATGATTGTTGTCTTATTAAACATAAAATTTCTCCCATTAATTAAATTTTATTGTTCCTTCATATAAATAAATATTTAAATTATCACGTGTCATTATTAACGTGCAACGCACGTTCATAGATACTTGTATTTATGCTAAATTAATGAATACAAGACATATGTTTTACTTGCATATTTTTCAATACTTAATTATTATATATATATATATATTTGCTTTAATATATACTTCTAAAAATGAATTATTTCATAATTCATTTTAAAATTCAACTTATTTGAGAGGGGTCCTAAATTAACCATAAAACGTTATGAATTTCGCTTGCTATATTGCTCTCTTTCCCCGTCAATTACGTACCCCTGACCTCCTCACTCACTATTCACTAGAGGTTGAAAGTTGAAACCTCACCCAACACACACAGCGCACGTTAGCACCCACCCTGTTTTCTTCTGCGCTCCATTTTTTACATTACGCCTCTGATCACCTCCACCTCGCCCCCCCCCCCCCCCC